CAGTGGTATGTATGTAAGCGTATCCGAACACTATTTTATCAGGTCAATCATTTACGAATCTTGAACGCAGGTTCAAGATAAACACTCTCTCCCAGTAAAGCCCCATTTTAAGATTGACGCAACGTAACCGTAACGCAACCGTAAGAAGTTAAACATACGCAACCATATCTCCGTAATGTAACGTAACGCAAAAGTTGGCCAACTTTCAACTTTTTACGTTGCCTTCTTGCGTTTGACCAATGAAAACTCAACAATACTCAACATAACCAAACATTTCAAAAATAATAAAATGAAAATACTTCCGGGATGGTGGCAAACCCAAACTGGGACCATTCAGGCCTTCAGTATCAAAAAAGGCAACGTAAATATTGTAAATATGTGCCATACGTAACGTAAGAAATAAATTGTAATTTTTAAAATGCTTACGTTTTGCTGCGTTACGGTTACGTTACGGAATCTATAAATCGGACTTGAAGATCTCGAAGAGAATCTCTCACGGGTCGTTCGGTGCCAACTAAGCATTGTTAGGTCCACAACGAACTCAGAACCAGTTTACCAGGTCAACCATCTCCAAATTATTGAGGCAGTTTTTATTCAGAAAGTATGTTTGGTACTTTTTTTACATCCACCCTATTTCTCCGCATTATCGGATTATCATGTATTCCGCTCTCCATCGAATAGACTATGAGGACTTTGACTTTCAAACCACAGGACTTTTTTAGGTGTGGAATTGGGAAACTGCGAGATCGTTCAAATGCAGTCGGAAACAAAAGAGGATTTTTCGGTCGTGTCGAAATATGAATTATTCTCCTTGCGCTTGAGACGATCAAATTACGCACGTCGATTGCGCTACAGAATTAACTCAATCGATAATAGAGGATTTGTTAATTTATTTTGAGAAGAAATACATTTTATATTTTTCAAAGACGCTACTATTCTGAAGTCAAAGTTTGAATACATCCACACAGCCTTTCTCAACAGAAATAATATATTGAAAAATAAATTAGTAAAATTGAATTTCTTTTATAAGTAACTTGAAACTAGAATGTATAAATTTTGCTGTACCTAAAGGCGAGAAAACATTTAATTTGTTATTGATCTGATATAGAGAAAAGACGAATTTGCATCCATATTTTCGCTTCACCTGAATTTAATATGCATGCGAAGCTGAAAACACTTTGCAACAGTCTATAATTCATAAGAGTATACTTAGATTCAAATTATAGCAACAGAACTGGGACTGGGAGAGAAAATGAACTTGGAAAGTTGAGCAACCCAGGACTAATCGATTGGATTAAATTTTCAAATCCAACTGATGTTGATAATTCATATTTGTCATAAATAGGTGATTTCTTTCGATCTGAACAAACTGAGCGAAGTCACTTGAGGTTTGTTTCAAACAATTTTCATTCGGTTTTAAAACGATTTCATTGGCCCCAGCTGTTTTTTTGACACCTCATGAACAAACCTCATGTGATCATAATCAGTTTGTTCAGATCGAAATAATACACAGAATATTCTGGAACTCTGCAAGTAATATCGAGTTTTTTACATTAGAGTGGTCACGGTTTTAATCCGATTTAAGCTTTTCGGATATTAATGTATGGTGCTACTACAAAGTTAAACTTTTAGATTACTGTGTAAATTCGGATAATTTCTAAAATAGTGGTGTATAATCGCTGTTGATATTAGATGGATCGATAAAAAGCTTTCAGGATATTTACTAAAGCTGACAAAGCTCGTTAAAAATTTCGTAAGTGTAATATTGTTGCAGGCAACAAAGGAATTGTTATGTAACATCGTAAATATTTGTATGGAACTAATTTGAAAGGTATAAAAAATAATTTTCATCCCTCAAATATCCAACAAAACAGATGGAAACAAAATAAGAAAAGCTTTCTTTGTATTGACGCATCAAGAAAATGGTTATTGTCAGATCACTGGAGCTGAAATACACTGCTGAAGTAGGTATACCAGTTCAAAAAATAAGGAAAATAGGCTAGTTAAAAAAGTTGTAATGAATCAATCTGAAATTTCACAAAAAAAATTTGATAACATAAAGTAAATAAAGTCCAGTGAGTGACACTAATACCACATCCATACTTTCTCTCCTGAATCTTTGCCTTTCACAGAATTTTTTTGTGTTCAACAATAAATTCTATCAGCAACCTGATGGCCTGACCATGAGTACCTGCCTCTCGCCTTTTCTAGCTGACATCTTAATGGATTATCTTGAGTTCAAGTTCATAATTACCAATGCCACGTGGACGATTGTCTATGTTTTATCAATTGTGACGCCCATGAAGCGAGTTCTCTCTTGAATAAGTTGAATAATCTACACCCCAACATTTCCTTCACCTTGGAACTCGAGGTTGACGACCGAATTAATCTTCTTGATCTAACTATTCCCAAGAACCTGGCTGGATTACAATTCTCAATTTACAGAAAACCAACCCGAACTGATCATGTGATTCTTTTCCACTCTAACCATCCCTATCAACATAAAATTTTACTGCCACTTTCACCGTCTTTTGAGCATACCTCTTTCTCCTGCTAACTAGAACGAAGAATTAGAAACAACCTGATTGAAACCCTGATCAACAAAATTAAACTTATTAAAAGAAATATTTCCAAACATATACTCCAAAATGAAAAATATATTTCAGTCCCATAGCTAAATTCATTTCTCAATAAAAAAATCTCCAATAGTTTTCTTAAACGTCAAAGTGTTCTCGTTTGCTCAACACTAAGGACAAAATTGACAACTAGTCAAAAGTGGTGTCCATAAGTTCGAATGCGATTCGTGCAGTTGTTTTTATGTAGGTCGTACTTGTGGACCATTAAAGACAAGGATTGCTGAACAGTTAAGCAGGCCCACTTCTGTTTTTAGTGCAGATATAAGATCCACAAATCACACATTCAGCCCTGAATCCAATTTTGAAAATTCTCCACCCTGAACTACAATCGCCTAGATTTTCTTGAAGACATCCACATATCTTATGACCTAGAAAGTAACCCCTCTTGTCTGAATATCCAAGTCAATCTTTTGATAGACCTTAAATCCCTCTGAATAGGAGATTACAATAACTTACCCACTTTGATATATACATTAAGGTTTGGTTTCGTTGAATTCAACCGTTGAAAGTGGATAGAAAATTAATTAAAAATACATTACCTTTCAAGTTTTATTACATCAAAAATCTGTTACTCTCTCTTATCAATTATTATTATCTCATTTCCCTTCAACCTCTTTTTCGAACTGGAGTATTTTCTTATCTTACGCAACACGCCCGCTACTGGAGTCTCTGGCATTTCTGCATTTTTGTGAAGAAAATTTTCCTCTTCTTTTTTTTACTTTTTATGTTTTGCCACCTGATGGACACAGGACTCTGATTTTGATGGCGAGTGTTTTTGCGCCTGATTAACGCATCGTTTCCTAACCACACTTCATGGACAATGACTAAGGGGAAAAGCTGACGTCAGTTGATTTTTAGAAAACTAAAAAAGGCAAAAATGTGATCCTGCTTAGCACCACATAATTTCAACCAATAATTGCCTGCTTAAGGGTAATGCCTTCAACCCGTCTCCCCTCAAGGATGATACACACTACTACTACAGGATAGACTATCCTCGTAAGACCTGTGTAAAACAAATCTGAAGCCCCCACCATGCCAAATCACCAGTTGTGACGTAGGCAGCATGTCGTTTCTTGACGTAGGCTGTTTGCACCGCAGGTAATGATTCTGCGGGCTTTTGCTTCATGCATACTTGGTTTTACTACATTAATAAACATCCTAAAAAATATTTTTTAGGTCTCGTTTGCATCTTGCCTATAATGTTAATCAATATTAAATAATATTTTTTATCATAAATTTCAATTCTAAACTACGACCGCTGGCTCAAACAGCTGACGTCGCTGACGTCTTAGTTAATGAAGTCGGCAATGGTGATACACCAATATGGCGGCGATTACCAAAAACGAGGCCGATAAGCAATCCTTAGTAGTGTGTATTATCCTTGTTCTCCCCTTTCTTAATACATTGGGGTTTTAATATGTTGGTCCGTCGCAATTTTTAATGTGTAGTCCTTTTTACTACTTTTTCCAATTTATTTATATATTTTCACAATTTTATTTTCTACAATTTGTGTTCATAGGATTAAATTTGTCCATTCAGTGGCTCTACTACAACCTTCCCCTATCAAAATTTGGTTCGTTTCTGCTTCTGCTATATACAACCTCATCGCTTCACGAGACAGAACTTTCTAACGGGTCTGTTGTTCTCTCTTTTCAGTTAGCACTGAGGGTGGCTGGGAAGCCGAAAGCGCTCTGCTGAGATTATATTAAATATATTTGTTCGAAGTACTCAAGTTTGGGCAAGTTTTTAAATTCATCAATTGCTTCTGCGCATTTCTTCTGATGGGCAACCTATCCTTGTTTTGCTGCTGTCAAATGACAAGGACAACAATACATCGGTGAAAATGCGCATGTAATATTGATGATTTTAAAAACTTGCCCTTTGATTTCCAGATTTTCATGACTCAGAAAGTTAAAAAACAGCTGTGAATCAATAATATTTACATGGGTCACATTCAATTGAATTTAAATTCATGTTATGAAAGCACAGCAATCTGCGAAGTGCGAAGTGAAGAAAATATGTATTGGCAATAAAATTGGATGAGTGTGAAAACGAACTTTGTGACTTAGTCCATGAACTATGGTTTAATCAGAAACTTTAGGAACCTACTTTGTGCCCTGGATATGGAACAATAGGAGTAATATTGCCCAAAGGGAAAATGTAGATTTTTGAGCAGAATCTTCTTTCCTTTAGTAGCTAGTTAGATGAGTAGCGATATTATTTCTTCCTTTAGGCATTATTTTCAAAACACGTTTTATAGTTAAGTAGTTAAGGTATAATATTTATTCATAAACTGTGGTCAAACGAATTGAATTCCATAAATCCGTTGAATTATCCATTATTAAAAGCTTTAATTACATATAGAAGATTCTCGACCGACAAAAGAATTTCGAGCCTGCAGCTCATCTCCGTGTTTCCACTTGAGCACTTGCATCGACCTGCCTGGAGCGACCTTCACCTGCATTTGCCCTGAAAATTATACAGGCCCATCTTGCGAATCCGAAATTGTTTTGAAAAAATATGAAACCCCCTCCTTTAGTGGCAGATCCTACGCCATACTTAAGACGATCGAAGCCTACAACAAACTTGTTATTGAAATGGAGTTCAAATCCTACACTTACGATGGGATACTGTTCTATAACGCCGAAAATGAAGACGGCTTAGGTGATTTTGTATCTTTGTCCCTAGTTAATGGATTTGTCGAGTTCAAATATAATTTGGGACACGGACCTGTTATTATGCGTTCTGTAGACAGAATCGAACTTGGCAAGTTTCACAGAGTTGTGGTTAAGAGATATAACAGAGATGGTTTGCTTAAATTGGACGATGCCGATGATGTCGCGGCACAGGCAGCGGGATTAACAAAAGCCCTGGATTTGAAGACCGATACGTATATTGGATATGTTCCCACCAATTTCACTAGGTAAGTACCTAACTCGAGACATTTATTACTGTTAGAATTTTTTTATTTGAATGTAAAAATCTGTTTATGGATGAAGCATCCTTCTACAAAACAATTATTGCAGTTGAATACATATAAACGAAAAAGTTGATTAACTGATTTTCCCGTAGGAAATAAGCTTGGCCCTAAGAGACTTCTCCTTTTTTCATAAATAAATTCACAATCTGGCTTATAGGCTAGTTGTTCGATGCCGAGGTCCGTATTCTTCCAAGAAAAGTCCATCATGTTTCCGAAAAAATAAATAAATGAAAGCCCTGGAATGAAAAGCGGAAAATAATAACATTTCGTTTATTTTGAGGCACTTCTACATTTTTGAATTACTGATAAGCAGGATTAATTACTCGTTTATTGAAAAAAACAGTACACATCACAGTCTTTGGCTTGTATTGCGTTTAATTTTACAAAGGACGATATTTTTTTCGAACTTTTCATACAATTAAAAAACATGAGAAGTAACGTATTCTATGTTTGAATTTTTGTAAAAAAATTGAGATTAATCTTAATGAATAATCCGTTTTTAGGTACATAAGTCAATTAATAAATTTTGCTTGAAATTAAAAAAGTTAAAATTACAAAAGCCTGGTGTTAACTCGGTGTGTCATTCAGTATTGAGGTCCCGATAAAGCGAAAATTCCCGGGAAAAAAGGGGGGAAACTTTACCCAAAAGAGATCTGACATACGTCACAGATTACACGGTTAAATCCATGGCGGTGAAAATTAAAAACGATTTAATCTTATTTTCCAGGGTATTTGAAAACATCGGCACCGACAAAGGGCTTGAGGGATGTATAAAAAAGTTGAAGATTGGCAGGGAGGAAATTGAACTTCACACGTTCCGACACGAAATGGTATTAGAAACTAAAGGCATTTACGATTGCAGCCAACATGCATGTGAACAATCTCCGTGTTTAAATCAAGCCCAATGTGTCCCGATGGATGACCTGTTTCGATGCGAGTGCCCTCCGCAGTTCTCCGGAAAGTTTTGCGATAAATTGGACGATCCTTGCATGTCTAATCCTTGTGTTTTTGGCGCCAAGTGCCAGCCGTATGATCAGGACACTTATATTTGTAAGTGCAAACCAGGACAGACTGGAAAAAGATGTGAAATTGGTAAGCAGATGATAAAGTGTTGAATATAATATAAGGTACGGTTAAACGTTGCTTAAGTATGTTCTAACAAAATATTTAGTATCAGTAAGCAGTGAGTATGTAGGTACATACCTAACTGAAGATTTATTTATCTCAAGAACACGCTTAGCTTAGATTATGCCATTGACTTTTTTTTTAACTCGCGTAACGAAAATCAGAATCAGCGCGTCAACAAGAAATAGGTTTGGTAACTCAAAATGTTGAAACAATTTGTTCCCGATTTCACTGAATCGATTTGGATGAATTCAGGAGAGCAAATAGTTCTACATAGTGTTTGGCTGCAGAAACATGATTGATTGAGCGATTGCTTGTACAAAGCTTGCAGTTTGAAAATTTTATGCTCATCTTATTAGTCCGTTGTGAAACATTGCGATGTAAAATCGTCCTTGCGCTGTTAATAGGTCCGAAGATTGCCAAGTCCTTCACCAAATCTAATGCCTTATTGTGATCGATAAAAACCACATGGGGGAATACTGAAATAATTCAATTCAATTTCGAATAATGTGATAAGTCACACTCTGTGTGTTTTAGGGCTTGATATATAAGGTAGGTGCATACAATATCGCCATGTTGGCAATATCGCCATGCAGTACTTTTTGCCTCTCTATGAGAGATGGCGCCACGAATTATAATTTTATAATAAATTTATAACCTACACTGAATGCCAGTTGCATTATAACCTCAAACTTCAATCTCGTGTTGATTTTACCGGCGAATCGATATTTTCAAGAAGGGTGATCTAAGAGATGTTGACGATTTGTCCAATTCTAACACAAAAAACAACGTGGTAAGTAGTTTTTTCAATTTATTATTTCAGACAGTATGGTTTAAGGTATTTAATTATGATTCTGTTTTTATTTCAAAAGGTTTTTTAAGTTTAGTAAACAAACAAAATTGTGACTAACATCACTGTTGGCAATATCGCCAATTTCATGGTGGAGCAATATCGCCATGGCGATATTGTTAGCAGTGACATTGTAGCTTGCTATTTTATTTAATTTTCTAATTGATTCATTAATTTTTAGCATCAGTAGGTGCGTACTTACATTTATTTTTTGTTTCCAGATTAACTATATCTAAAGAACGAAATTGAGGTCTTAGGGGAAAATGGAGTGAAGATAACATGCAGAATGCTATTGCTTCAGTTGAAAATGGCATGTCCAAAAATTTAGCGAGTAAGACATTCAACGTACCTCGTGGAACGCTGAGAGATTATTTACGAAAAAATGAAACATCAAAATGTGGCTTGGGTCGCAAGCCTGTTCTCACTAAAGAACAAGAACAAGAATTGTATACAAGAATCATTCGATTGGCAGAAGTAGGATATCCGCTAACTTCTAAAGTATTGCGTAGATGCGTTTTTAATTTTTGCGATGCAAAACACATAAGCCACCCGTTTAATGAAGAAAAAAAATTGGCTGGTCGATACTGGCTTAAAGGATTTTTCAGCCGTAATCCTGAAATTAGAAAGCGGAAGGCTCAGAGCATGAACCCTGCCAGGGCGCAAAAACTAAACCGGTTTATAGTGAATGACCACTTTACCAAACTGCGTAATATTCTGTTTAAGCTTGATATTATAGATAAACCTCAGTGTATTTATAATATGGATGAGAAAGGTTGCCGCTTATCGCTTCATCACCAACAAGCTGTTCTTGCAAAGAAGGGGGCCAAACGAGTGCATCTTGTAGCAAATGAACATGGGCAAAATGTCACAATAGTCGCTTGTGGGAACGCTATGGGTTCTACAGTCCCTCCGTTAATCTTATTTAAGGGGAAGCGAATGAAACAAGAATGGTCCGATTCTTTACCACCAGGAAGCATAGCGTTAATGACACCTAAGGGGAGCATGACCATTGAAACCTTCAAGCTATGGCTTCAACATTTTGCAAAGTACAAAGCTCCTGGACCATGTCTTTTAATCTTCGATGGTGCTAGATGTCATTTGGACCATTCAATTGTCACTGTCGCTGAAGAGCTAGGCATCAACTTATACTGCTTACCAAGCAATACAACTCTTGAGCTCCAACCAATGGACAAGGCAGTCTTTCGCTCTTTTGAGCACTACTGGGATGATGAAGTTCTCAAATACTGGGCTAATCATAGAGACCGTTCTCTAACAAAACAACGTTTTGGCTTTATTTTTTCCATTGTTTGGGACAAGGCCATGACCCCCGCCAATATTAAATCTGGGTTTTCGGCGACTGGTATCTACCCGTTTAACCCAGATATTTTACCGGTTGAGGCATTTGCACCAAGCAGCGTAACTGAAAATCCAGTAGAGCCACCTGCTCAAAATGAAGATAAGACACCGGCTCCAGGTTCATCCAAACTGAACATTAAGAATAAGTTGTCCAATCCTTCAAAAAATCCCACAAAACGTCAACTGCAAAAATTTAGTAGCAGTGATGATTCTGAGGCAGAAAGCTTGGAGATGTCTGAGAGTTCATCTGAAAACGAAACTAGTGAAAACCCCAAGAGCACTGACGAGAACGATATTTCATTTACCGATATGCTCACTACACCAGAATTGGCTCACAAATATGATACTCGACGCAGAAATCCCGCAATTAACAGTAGAGCACAAGTTGTTACAAAAGACGTTTTTAAAGAATCTACAGTCGGGGGCAAGACTTTGGAGCCAGTAGCCAAAACGTCAAAGAAAAATCCACCAAAGATTCCAAAGGGAAAGATGGAAGAGAAAAAATCGGAAAGTTGGTACTGCAAAGGATGCCAAGAAGACCGAGTCGCGGATATGCGCTTGTGTGTTATATGCAAAGGTTATTTGCACGATGAATGCCTGGGGTTGACCAATGAAGACAAGATAGAAGGATACATTTGCCCTTACTGTTCTTAACTTTTGTATTTTTACTACATGTTATGGCTCTAATAAAGGATATTTAACAAAAGTCAAGTTTTTTTTTTCTGGAATACCAAAAATTTATTTCAAATTGAAAAATGAATATGGCGATATTGCTAGCCCCTGGGTGACAATATCGCCAATCTGCAAAATTTTTAAAAAAAATCAAAAATCTTTTTTGCTTATTAAGAATGTTGCCAAACGATTTTAGACTATTAGTATATAGCCTAAACAATAAGTTTAGCCTATATTTTATATAATATAATCTTTCGCTTTTCAAAAAATAAAATAAAAAGCTTAGCATGGCGATATTGTATTCAGTTACCTTAGGTCTAATTTGTATCTGTATCTGTGAGTCTGGGAAGGTGGAATACCACAGCACTTACGCCCATTGTGCGCCTCCACAAGACGAGAGGTCATCCTTAGCTCGTCATCCAAGCGATTTAACGTAGGCGACGTAGGGCCTCTGATCTCTTCTAGGGATGGGTACGATCTGGCTCTGCGTATTGGCGGAAGAGCAATGCAGTCACAAAGAATGTACTCTATCGTCTCTTCTCCTTGATAACAAGCCCTACACAAGAGTGTGGTGCTAAGATGCAACCTGAATAAATGTTTGTTTAACTGGCAGTGACCAGTAATGTTATCAGGCGTAGCCTTTTTCTGGTCAACGACAGTTTCTGGCTCGCTGCAAAGTTATCTGGGTAGTTTAGCAGTTCCTTGGATAAGTTGCAGCCAATCGTATATTCCCAGCGTTTTTTGAAAAGGGTTTGGGGCGTTCGGTGATCATATCTTTGGCTACCGATATTGTTAGCCCCACGAAGGGCTCCGGCCCAAAAGGCTGTAGCCTGGCGCCCCCCTAGCCAAACCATTGGCAGCCCGATTTCCTCTGCGCTGTGATGTCCAGCTGACTACCACCGTGTTTTTTTTTATCGACGCCTCTTTGAGGGTACGGTGTGAGTCGTGGTCTAGACAGCTAGTACCTACTGCTTGCCTGCAGTCCGTGTGGATGTGCTCGATCTTGTCAGTGATGTTGTAATCTGTTCTGCAGCGATTATTATGCCAGTAGTTTCCGTTGGGAGGATAATTGGCATGGAGCCGAGGGCTTTAGTTAGGTTCAGTTTGAGGGCTTTGAAGTATACTCCGCATCCCGAGCTTGTTTCAGTTCTGGATCCGTCAGTGTGGTTGTTACTTACCTCTGCCACTGTGTTGTTACCAATGCCTTTGGTGTTGATTGCGTAGTAGTGCTTTTTGAAGACGAAATATGGCATTGCAGGGTTCACTGTGGCTTCCAACAGTGGAAGCGAGTTCGTTGCCTCGCGCCATAGGCGGCCTTTCTGCAAACCGACTTCTGCAATTGGTTCTATACCAATAGTGCGGAAGCGCATCATTGTTGGAAGCGACTTTTTTGACATAAATATCCAGGGCCGTCGAACATAGAACTACTTCCAAACGTGGTCTTTCGGCTTATAGTGGTCTGCTCTAGGTTGCGCTAGCTCTAGAGAATGAGGGCTAGCGTTTTGGACAAAAAAATATAGACTGGGGGGGGGGGGGGGGGGCAGGCTTTGATGAAGAGGTAAAACAAAAATGCTGGAGTTGAGGGTTTTCGAAAAGAGTGAGAGTAGATGGAGTTTTTCTATTCTGATTGATGGTCCCCAAGAGTGACAATACCCTTAGATTTTGTGTAGATTTTCGGAAGCTGAATGATGTAACAGAAAAGTAGGACCCATTGGTTGGTTGGCTTGTTTAAGGCGGAGTCAGACGTGCTTTTGTCCCGATTTGCACTGTAGCCTTTAGGCTTATTGTCCTACCCCTGTCTTGCTCAAGCAAGTTCGAGCTGCAGTGGATGTGCTTCTCGTAGCCCCGGTGATGCACAGACATGCCAGTCTCTGAAGGCTGTTTAGTTTATTGACCGTCGTTACTTTTTATGATTTTGTTTACCATATTGCAGCTCCGTATACAACTATGGGCCTGATAACCGTGGGACCTTTTTGCTTTGTTTAGATTTCCACATTTCCTAACAATAAACTAGCGAAAGCAAAATATCTTACAAGTTTGGACATTCAAAGTGCTTATTAGCAAATCAGGATAGAGAATACTTTCATTCTCTGCACAAGTACACAAGTTTTCCATTTCCAGGGCGAGGGCTTTTCCAATCAGAAAGAATGCCTTTTGGGTTGACAAACGGTCCAGCCACATTTCAGGCTCTTGTTGATAAACTTTTGGGTCCAGAATTGGAGCCATCCTGTTTCAAGTACTTAGATGGTCATAATTACACCCGATACAAAAAAAAAAAGAAAAAGGTATTTAGGAAAAAAACGAATTTAAACTAAAAGAATGACAATTTTATAAAAAATTAAATAGTCGTTTTATAAAGCCTTTGAAGAAATATCGGAGGGTGTGGAAGAGCGCTTGAAAATTTTGTCAGGTATCGGATGATGTGCATATTATAATAAGCAAGTGTATCGATTTAGTTTAGATGTTCCACTGTTCCAGGAATCTCTCTCTTCCATTTCATAAAATTTATTTTGAAACCTAATCTGATTCGAAATATTCGGAATAATTTTAATAATACTAGACGCCTTTTAGAAAGATTTTTTTACGTGATGGTAATCATCATCTGTTATTTTACTAATGAGCTTATTAGCATGCAGAAAATACTGATGCCCCTGCTAACATAAATTTAATGTGGGACCAAACCAATATTTGTTGTTACATCATGTTAAACATTAAATCGTTTGATGAGATAATTTTCATTTTAAAACTCAGTACTTTTGCTTCAGTGTAAATACCAACCAATAATAATTAATTGGCTACTTGTTAACATAAGGAGTCCCTATTTTTGGAATGAATATTGTATTGAGGGTAATTTTTTATTTATTCAAACAATAATGTGAAACCAGTTCTCTAGTAAAATTTTCCATTGCAGAGTATAAAAATGATCAAGTAGTAATGCCAGAATTCACCGGCCACAGCTATATCCGACTTCCGCCAATAAATGTTATCGAGAAGGCATTCTCGATTGAAGTCTCGTTTATGCCCAAAGCACCTAATGGTCTAATTTTGTACAGCGGCCAGATAGAAAATAGCCTCAGCGATTTTATTTCCTTGAATCTGGCTCAGGGCTATTTGCACTTCCGATTCAACTTGGGTGGAGTCGGCGTCGATCTGCTGTAAGTACTTTAAAACCTTTTAATATAAAAAACTAATTTGGTAAGTAAAAAATTAAGTGGTTTGAGTACCCTGGAAGTTTAGAATTCCTGCTTCTTTAGTTTCCTACTTATAAGAACACCTCGCCCGCCGGTTGCTTTAAAATTTCTTGCGGTGAAAACTGAGGTTTCTTAAATTGCATCAAGTATAAGAAAGGATAAATAAAACAGACGGTTTTCACTTTTTCATTTGTTTTTCACAAATAAATGAAAATAAAATAACTGGTGAAGACAGGTAAGTTATCGATATCGAATTGTCCGGCATTGCATCCCGCAATGCAATGCCGGACAATTCGAGTCACAGGACATTAGTTTTTATTTTTAAAGGTAAGAACTTGATGATTTTTTTTTCTCAAATGGAAGCCGATTGTTCAACAGAATTTCGATTTTTTTTTTTTTTCAATTTTGAAAAGGCTATACAATTATTATATTTCATTAACAGCAACGTGGGTTAATGGGAATAGGTAGTTATAAAAGAGTGTATCACAATATGTTGATGTGGCATCTTTTTTTGTGAATAATGATGAAAACGTCAACAAAAACCAATCTAAACTGTTTTTTTTTTTAACAATAAAAGAAGAATCTGCCTAGAGGAAAAATTGTCAGATATTCACCTTATATGTGAATAAATTTCCCCAAGGTACTAATATTATAAAAATAATTAACTCTCCATACACCATCGAATTTGTTAATAAATACCTTGATGCAAGAAGGCAATACCTGAGTAAAAATCTCATTTAAATGTTACAAATAAAATAAATTTTTCCATTAAATTATCATGTCAGCGTGATTGACAAATATAATATTACATGCATCATTTTATGTGCTTTTTAGCTTTAAAATTATCTCAATTATTGTATTTTAAGTGAATGCCAATAAAGAGCATTTGTATTTGTATTTTGTCATTTGTATATCAGCTATAGTGAGATATTCGTAGAAGTAAATCATGCTGAATACAAATAAAAATCATTTATAGGAAAAAATGGGTAAGTGAATGATAACAATAATACAAGGTGATTCGAGGTAAATATCCCTTGCCGACCGTGCCCTGTACAGACAGCAAAATATTTGTGGGCAATCAACGCTGGCAATTTGCACCGACTGCGTGCGGATTATCATTAAACATGAAGCAGTGGTCGTACGAGCAATGCGCGTTTATGGTCCAGGCGGTTTTTAAATCGCGGCACGGTGACGTTTTTGCAACCATTTAAATATTCGGCCTATACATGATGCTCCCTAAAAAAAATTATTGAAATCGTGGGTTCAAAGATTCAGACAAAGTGGTACAGTGGCAAATCTGAAACGTCCCGGTCAATAGAAGTCTATCAGAACGCTAGAGAACATTGAGACTGTGCGAAGTGCTGCTACTGAAAATCCGAGGCGCTCAATTTGATAACATGGCCGGGACGCTTCTGATTTGCTGATGCTCCACTTTGTCTGAATATTTGAACCCACGATTTCAATAAATTTTTTGACGCAGCATCACTTGGAGGCCGAATATTGTAACGGTTACAAAATTGTCATAGAAATCGTTCGATTTAAAAAACACCTCGACCAAACGCGCGTTGCTCGTTCAACCACTACTCCATGTTTACTGATAATCCGCACGCAGTCGCCGCAAATTGCCAGCGCTAACTCCCACAAATATTTGGTTTCGTGGACAGGACGCGTTCGAAAAGGGAAATTTACTCTGAGTCACCCTGTAAAACCCGAGCACATAGAGGAGTAGTAACTCACTCCCAAATAATTTTTAGAACATAGATTTTATTGCTTACAAAAGTGAGTTGCATCTCCTAGGTACGATAAAATATCGGATCTGCGATAATAGATAGGCTGTTTTTTTTATTATTATGTTTACTTTTCTAGTCAAGACAACATCTAATTTTCCTATCTCTTTTCTTTTCTAAAACTACGGAACTGGAACTGGCCCAGGAGAAATGGCATAGCCTAATAACGATGCTATCCAGCATCTCTTGACTTTGCTCATCGATTTTTTGCCTTTATTTTAATTGGCGGTTTTTGATAGGTTTTGCGAATTTTACGTCTATCTCATGCTCTATTCGACCAGTCCTGTCCTTGTGTTTTGCTAACTTCTTGATCTTTTAGAAGTGGTTCATGTAATACCTGTTTTGGCCTTGTCATCTGTGATACGGTTCATCTTATGGCACTCTTCATATCAAATTAAATAATAAAAATATTTTAAATACTTATATGCACGCCAGGCAGAAGTGAAAGCTTCTTCAGTAAATTCTTTCCAAAAAACGATTGGATTGGTGTAAATAGGCTGGGTTTACTTAATATAAAAAAATCAACAAATATTTGATGAAAGGACGAGACAGCATGGGATAAGTGATTTTCGATTTTCTCTTAAAGCTCCGCTCCACCCTCTTTGTACCAGACGAAAAGATCATATTCTTGAACTCATATGTGCGGGTATCTTTTTTAAAATTGTGCACACAAACCTCATTTCTGCAGTAGAGAGTAGAGGCTCTTATTTAATACGGAAACATCAATGAGAGTTATATTGAGAGTTTTGGGATGAAGTGAAACTTGCATGTTTAGGAATTAGAAATGTTTGATCTTCAATATAAACTCTGGTAATTCTTTGTAGAAAAGAAGCAATTTTTACTTTATTATCGAATCGGCTTCAAGTATCTGACCAACATCCCACATAACAAAATTTCATCCTTAGAATGTACTGAGAATGTTCTTTTTTTTTTGAGGAATGTGCCTAGAATGTTCGCCAAAACCATTGCGAATGTTCTGAGAAAAAATTGTAGAAATACTGTCTGCAATACCCAAGAACTTCCTGGGAAATCCATTAGGATATTCCTAGAATATACCTATGAGATTTTCAGTACATTCTGAAAAGAATATTCCTGTTTGATTCTAAAAATATGCTTGAAATGTATATTCTCACATTCAAAGAATATTCCTATGACATTATAGTTATGTCCTCAAAAGAATATTATACCAATATGCTTGAAATATTCTTAGAATATATCTACATATATCATTCTCAATATGCATCCTAGACATAACATTCTTGTTTGATTCTAGGGACATACTTGGAATGTTAATTTTTGCATCCAACCAAATAATGCTACTTTCAGTCCTTCTATATTAAAGGCAGTGAAAGAGTTGTTGGAAAATTTCTCTGGAAAACACAAGTGTTTAACCAAAGCTCCGGTTTCGAGCTTATTATGCTCTCGTCGCAGTAAGCACGCCAACTGAGAGAAACAGGTTCCAAGATGATTCAAACGCGAGACAAGATGTAGATCATTAATAGCGCGTGGCTCCCTCTCTTGGAAGTCCTACAAAGCAAAAGAAAAAGAATATACCTATAATATTTTCAGTAGGTTCTAGATAGAGCATTATTGTTTAATTGTTCAACTAAGATTTTTAAGTAGGTACTTTAGATAATTAGGTAAACAATATGGAAATATTCTTATCATGGGTACCTACCTACATAAACTTCTCAGCACAACTTGGTAGGTATATTCTTGATACTTGATAGAGATATTAGCCGAAAGAACATTTTTTAGGGTACATTATAATAATGTTCGTGTGACAATATTCAGAAAATGTTTTATAAAGAAGGTTCTTAGCACAATCTTTCAGGTAGGTGCATAGAAGCAACATTCCTAGTACATAAATAGAACGTCCAAAAATGAATATTTCAATCGAAACAATCTAAGAATATTCATTGAACATTCCTAAAAGAACATTCCAAAAAGCACTTTGAGGGTATATTGTGAGAATATGAATGTTCTTTCACTGTTATGTGGGATTGATTAAATTTCTCTTTTCCAAAATATTATAGATATTTTGATGTATAGACTACAACGTATTTCTGTTCAGAAGCACTTATAATAAAGCCAAGAAGCACAAAGCGTATTAATGAGCCGGAAAAAGCATTCCAACGGGCCCTTTTCACGTTACAAACTTAGTTCCGATCTATATGTTAAATTCATACGATACGACATTACACTGACAATTTGAGGACTTCGTTTTCGAGACATGGTAATTCTACGGCAGGTTTCTTTCTAAAGGATAAAGGTCTTGAATCAGTGCCTACAATCAATCTTGTATTTGCCGAGATAGGGAAAATGTACAAAGCTTTGTTATTTTTAACTCGCTTTCCGGAGGGCGGCTACGTGCCCCGTGTTTTTTTTTCCATTGTACATAATAAGCTTAGCGTATAGTGTTTTTTTCAATTTTTTTTTTCCCGAGAAAAGGAAGTTTAATATATTTTGTAACTTCCCCTGTAAAGATTTTTTTCTTGAAAAGAAACTGGCAACTCTGCACTTAATAAAATTTTGACACAGAGACTTTTGTTATTTTCATAAAGACGTTCAGAAGTTTACTTTTAATGTACATTGAGAGGGGTTGCCTTTAGGTATTGCCAGCTTTTCTGACGTTTGTAGTCACAAAAAATAAATTATCGTTTTTTGGATCTAAAACCAAAACGTAGATAAAAATAACAATACGAAGAGTGTTAAAAATTCGCATTAAATTATTTGACAAAAATTTCCTCGGACTTCCTTTGAATTTCCTTGGACTGCTTCAATAATTCCTTGGATTTCTCCAAACTTCATCTCAATAATTCCAAGGACGTTCAAATATTGCAAATCGGCGACGCGACGTTCCGTTGGATGCTTCACTAATTGCATACCAGTTTCGAGCTTATTAGCTCTTGTCAGTGCAATATAGGGGAAAGCATACCAAGTTAGGAGGTTTAAACAATAAGATAGGAAAAACCTATGATATCGTATGGTTCCATACCTTCGATGTTTTGCTTCACACCAGTCATCATCATAGGCGATCACTCGATACCGAGTATGATTATCTTCTATTCTATTCTTAATGTCGTCGATTGTGCGTTTTTTGATGGCTATATAAACCTTAGATTATATATAGGCTAACACCTAGATACGCATAGTCATTCATAAATCACCCAAATG